CAAGGTCACCAAGCCCGGCAATACGGCTGCCGCCGGCAGAAAACTCCGGCGACTTGCGCTGTTGAAGTTCTCATCCACCGGATACAGGTTGCTGGGAGGACCGGTTATGTAGATGAAAGAAGGGGGCGGTGGCGGTGGCGGACAATACTGTGAAGGTGATTTCTTTGGGAAGGAGGCGGCGGAGATGGCGGTGGAAGCGCAGGAGGAGGGGGTGGTGGAGAGCTGTAGTCACCACAGGGCGAGCATTTCCGATCGCCGGCCGGCACGGTGGTTTCATCCAACTTCCTAGAAGAATACACGACTTGGAGAGGAACAGTGAGACAGAGAATGAGGAGGAAGATGAAATTGAGAGCCATTGGAAGCTGAATTTGATGCTCAGAAATGAGACTGAAGAATTGCAAAACTTAGGAGATGTGGGTGTGAGCTGTAATGTGATGAAGTTTGGGTTTTAGAGAGAGAGAGAGAGAGAGAGAGAGGGATTTCTTTTCTTACGTTACTTGAGGTGCATGGGAACTTTAAAAAGAGCAAAATGCCTTTGGAGTTAAGTCTGGTTCTCTTTTTTATAAATCAAAATTGAAAATTGTCATATATATGGTATTTTAATTTATATTTTTCCAATTTTTTAAATAATTTTACATTTGGACAGTTGAAATTTGACATTTTATTAAGTCTGCAATGTGAGTTAATGATATTTATTGTACTCTACCATCCATTTGATATAGATTTATTGTTGTCTTCTTTTGCCACCAGATTTATTGTCATCTTATATCCACATAACTTCAGTTCAATCAAAGAATTTTAAGATTATTTAATGTGATTTATCTCAAGTTTGGACGAACTTTTTAAGCGAATTATGTTCTTTTCTGCTGGCACAAGTGGGTTTAATGTTTGATTAACAAATGATGGCCTTTCATATCTATAAGTTTTTTTTTTGTTTGGATAAACTTTCATATCTATAAGTTAGTTCCAGTTGTGAATTAAGAAGCTTAAAGGGGAAGTAATCGATGCAATGATCAGCAGCAAAAAGGTAGTTTGAGGATTGAAGTGAGAGATAATAGGAACCATAATCATAGGTTGCAAAAAGGGAAAAGGCGATTCCTTCATTGCCCCAAAAACAGAGTATTTAGACCCTTTTTTTGTTGTTCTGAAAAAATAATGTGTGAAAAAAACAGAGTATTAAAGCATTTTGAGGTGAATATGGTGAAGGTTTTATTATTGATTCACATGACAAAACCTTCTCTTTTGGGTATTGTGCATGTTGCCACATGCATGATCCATCCCCTGCTTCCATCAAAACTAGCCATATCATTGACTATCCTCCCATCCATTATTATTCTACAATAGAAAATTAAAATCTTCTGTCCTTTTGAGATTAAAAAAAAAAAAGCTTTACATTCATTGTAATAGAGTTGTTTTATATAGAATTCCTATTGAAAGAAGCTATGTATTTAGTATCTGACAGTATCTCGAATAAGATTATCTTCAATAAAAAAAGATTTGATCTAAAAAATAATTATTTTAGGAAAAATAGTAAAAAAATGGCTGAAATAAAAAAATTGTAAATAACGACTCATGACAATATTAGTTTAAGTTTTGACAATAATTTTTATAAACCGGTTCCTGTGTACAACTTTTCCATTTCGACAGTCTTTTTTTGCCATTTTTTCTTATTTTTATATAATTATATTATATCAAATAGACTAATATATCAAGTCGAATCCAAATATTGTCTTCAATTGAGAGTAATATTTTTAATATTTTTTTTAACATTTTCATTATTTGACCTCTTTAGGTTTACTTAAGGGAACTGAACCAATCAAAAATTATGTTTAAGATTCAAAGTTGATTTAAATAAAGAAAAAGAGAAACAACAAATGAGGTGTAAAAATATTACATAGATACATCAACATTGTGCACATGCATTTGATTCTAACCATATATAATAATAATGAGGGCACATGCATACATTTCCTGTATATACACCGACCTTGTCTTGTCTTGTAGGACTCTTAAGTCATAACCCTTCAATTAGAAGGAGTTATAAGTCACCATCCCACTGGACTTGTGTACCTTTTGAGTCATCCCAATTCACACTTCCCTTTCTCATTGCCCTTTATTCTTTTTTTTATTTTTATTTTAAATTTTTGACTTATTCTTCTCACCTCTCTGTTTGTGTGTGCATAAATAAAGCAACAATACTTCAAACCTCAAATTTTCATGAAAATTTGACCCCCCTTTTTTTTGGGGAGATTGACAATTAAATAGAGTGTTTTAACTATTGTTATAATTGAATTAGACTAATTAGTCTGATTAGAAATGAGTACTCAATTTTGGTTCATTTTGGCTGGCTCAAAAAGGGAAACAATTAATTGAAAACCAAGCAATTTGGCCAATCAATTAATCATACGCTTCTTTTATTTTTTTCCTTTAATATTGTAAGCATATTTAATAAAGACTGTTAGGGAGTCTTGATCATGAGGTGTTCAATATGTTTCGAATGTAGTGTTTGTTGAGTTGGGTAAAATTAGAAAAGCTAATATATTTTTCTCCAAAAGAAAAGTGTTGGGGCATCCCTTTAAAAAATTAAAAAAAAGGAAATGGAGGGAGAAAAAGCAGACAAAAGGAAAATGAAAAGAATGGATTCCCTCACCGTCCCATTTTTTATAAAGGCATCTTTGTGATGTGTTGTGAGAATCCCCCTTTTGATCTTTTGGGTCCATTTTCCTCACTCAGACAAATTAATAATTTTATTTTTTATTTTTAATTAACAATCCCTTTTGGGAGCTTCTTCACACTCGTAAGGAATAATGCTCTCTGTTCTCTTCCATCCCCATGATTTATTTTATTCTATTCGATCATATACATATCCAATGATGAAGGCATGAAGCAGACACCATACTTTTCTAATGATTTACAATTAAGCTTTTTGGCTCGTGTCACTTGGAATTAGTTAATTAAATAATTTCTTAGTCATATTTTGCACACAGTTAATTATACTGCTCTCCATTTGAGTTTAAAATTACCAACAAGACAAAAACATACACTTCAAACATAAAAACGGAGTTGACCTTTTGTGTGCTTGGAAAAAAATTCATTTTTATTTGGGCGCTCAAATGGGTCGATTGGGTTGTTGCGTTTTAGGTGACTGAGGGTGTGTTTGGATGAAACCAAACCGTGGTTTGGAAAAGTGATTCTGGAGAATAGATTTTGGGGAAAATAAATTCTGTGAAGAATAGATTTTGTAAAAAAGTGATTCTGAGAAGTGAGAGTGTTTGGATAGTTGTTATCAGAAGCACTTTTTATATATACAAATTACTAAAAAAAAGACATAAGTTAATATGATAATTACAGAAAAATAGATTTTATGATATATTTTAATTTGAATGAATAAAATTGTTAATAATATGTTTTTTACCAACATAATTAATAATACATAAGATAATATAATTAATAAATAATTAAGTGTATATATATTTATAAAATATAAGATTAAATATATTTATAAAAAAAATATGTTTATAAAAAAAATAACAAGATACATATCATATAGCCCTTACACTCTCCCTTTTTTCTCCAAAAGCAAAAAAAATTTGCTTTTTCCAAAACCATGGTTTTGGTTTTTGGAGGGGGGTGTTGGGTAGATTATTCCCCAAACACACCCTGAGAATGGATTGATCTATTTAAGGGCCTGTTTGGGTATCTCAAAACCGTGGTTTCAGAAGCACTTTTCCGCAAAACGAGATAATCTCCTTCACATATTTACTTCGTAATCCGTAAAAGCACTTCTGAAATCATAGTTTTGGTTTCTATCCAAACACACCCTAAATAGAATTAGATTTTCAACTTTGACCCCAAAAACATTGATGCCCTTATTTTGGGCTGACGTGATGGAAATTAAATTGAACGAGCGCGCCCAATCCAAAATTTAAACAGAGTAGTACGAGCCCAAGTTCTTCACAGGCCCAGACCAGCCTGCAATCACCCCTCTCTAAATAACAAGAAGTTGAGCTACCAATAAGAAGTTAGATCTAGCAGAAAAGACTAATCCCTCACAACATGACGAATCAAGATTCAAACATCGATTGGAAAAAGTATCCACATTTAGTACCTGACAATGCCTCGACTAGAATTACAGAAATACCCACATTTAGTACCCGATAATATTTCAAATAGAATTATTTCTAATAAGAAGACATCTCTGCTTTAACCCAAAAAAAAAAAACGAAGCTGAGCTGGTCCAGTTCTACTACTTAGGGTGTGTTTGGGTGACACTCCAAACCATGGTTTGGGGACCCAAACCATGGTTTGGGGTGTCAATCACCCAAACACCCCCTCTAAAAACCAAAACCATGGTTTGGGTCAAAACCATGGTTTTGGAAAAAGCAAAATTTTTTTGCTTTTGGAGAAAAAAGAGAGAGTGTGAAACCTATATGATATGTATCTTATTATTTTTTATAAACATATTTTTTGATAAACATATTAGTCTTATATTTTATAAAATATATACACATTAATTATTTATTAATTATATTATCTTATGTATTATTAATTATGTTGGTAAAAAATATATTATTAACAATTTTATTCCTTCAAATTAAAATATATCATAAAATCTATTTTTTCTGTAATTATCATATTAACTTATGTCTTTTTTTTAGTAATTTGTATATATAAAAAGTGCTTCTGATAACAACTATCTAAACACTCTCACTTCTCAGAATCACTTTTTACAAAATCTATTCTTCACAGAATCTATTCTCCAGAATCACTTTTTCAAACCACGGTTTGGTTTCATCCAAACACATCCTTAAACTTTCACGTACTCACAATTGAAAAGAAAAACTGTTTATAGGTCATTTTAATGGGCAGACCAATCCGCCCTCTATTATTTAAATAAATATTTATTTCTAAATTAAATTATAAATTTTATCCATTCACAAACAAAGCTATGATTATTAAATAAATTATGATAAGTTGGCCATACCAAAAAACAGTTTACATAAGCACATTAACAAGCTCTGAACAAAGATATTTCCTCTTAATCTTGTGTGTACGTAATACATAACACCAAATCAGAAACTTAGAAATGAGCATCATTTCAAACAAGCAAGCACTCACTGCCAAAACCCAAACCAAAAATAGAATTCAGCAAATTTCCCTAAACCTTTCTCTCAGCAAAATGTTCATCAAAATCTCCAGAAACAAACAAAATCACTTCCATCCTATTCTCATAACAAAACAGGCGCTAACAATTACAATCCAATGGCCTATAGGTCGAAAATGTGAGTTCTTCATTTACATTCCATTTCAGGTTTCTGACTTCAGAATCACTCTCGAAGGCCACATGTTCTTCATCCTCTTCATCATCACCACCGCCACATTGGAGCAAAATTTTCAACAAGCAAGCCAGAAGAAGACTGGCATCAACAATTGTATTGAATTGCAATTCAAGTGAGATAGCGTGTAGGTATTACATTTAGTATTAGGTTCTCCCATGTTTTTCCAAACGGATCCTCTTTGCGGATTGAGGGGACTCATCAATAACGGAGGCGCCGCAACGCCATGAAGGTGACTGATTGAAATCTTGAGCCATCTCAGTAAACATGCTCTGTAACTCCTCCATACTGTAATAATCCTTTTCCTGCAACCAAACATCTTTTTCATGTTCGTTCAGGAATTTCATTTCTATACCCTATGCAACCATTCCTTCACTTTCGAAGAAAAATTTGGATTTTGATTTGGGAGATATCTTAGTTTAAAAGTAAATGCACAATAATGAAGATTGAAGAAGAGCATTGCTTTTTGAATCAATCTTTCCAAATACGCCAACTAATAGTAAGTGCCCATGGTGAAGTAGAAGAAGAGACATACCTCCCTCCTCACTTGAGCCATGAGAGACACCATCTCTTCCATAAATTCAGAAAATCCCTGAACAAGAGATCAAACAAATCTTTTGTTTAGGAGGCGGAGGACGAAGAAGAAGTGCATTCGAAACGCATATTAAATTTCCATGACACTCACCTCATCTTCGTCTTCAGGATCATATAACCCTGCATCGTACACTGTTCTTTTCTTGTGGTCTGATAGAACTGCTCCAAGAAGAACCCAGAGCAGAGTTCAATACACGATGTGCCATCAAAGATATAAAAGAAACCAAAAACAGAACTTTGGACTCCAAGGGTCTTAAATTGTGATTCTCAATCAAGACCCAGAAAAACAAATAATCCCTACCTGAATAAGCTTCTTGAATTTGTTGAAATTTCTGTTTGGCTTCACTCAACAAAGAAGGCGTTCTTGTCCACCTGTCTGGATGCCATTGCTGCATCAAATTCAATAAAACCGCCTCCTATCAGTACCCTCAAATAATTCAAACTCAGAAATTCCCAACTCCTAAGAAAAAAAAGAGTCAATTTCCAAATCTATAACCCTAAACTTTTGGCCTAAAGGAATTAAAAATTTCAAAACACAAAGGAGAACCCACTAACCAGAGCAAGCTTGCGATAAGCTCTCCTTATTTCTGTACTGGTTGAATCTGAACTAATACCAAGAATGGTATAATAAGAGAACGACGACCCTCCCCTACCAATCTCCATTTATCTTCAGTTTTTCAACTCACAAGCTTCCAATTCGGCTAAACGAGAAGTTCATCAAAATCTATCAACCAAGCTAACAACTTGTTAATCACATAAAACCATGGAAAGGCATAATCTATGACCGTAAAAGCCACCGAGCTATTCAAATCTCACACTTGAAGTCCCTGGTTGTGTTACTGACGAAAGAAAGGAAACAAGCAAGGAGCCATGGAGATGGCTGGGTATTTTTATAAGGAGAAGAGAGTCATTGGGAGTTCTGGAAAGGAAAATGCGTGCAGCCATGGGAATCTGGAATGTTCGGGAAGAGCGCATGACTATGGAAGAAGATATTTTTGTTTTTTGGTGAAATGGAAGAAGAAGATATTTGGATGCTCGTAAGTCTGATTTATGTGAGGCTGAGATAGTTTTGCGAGGAAAGGAGGGCTTGTTTTTATTATTTTATTTGATATTTAATTAATTTATTTTTTTTGTGGGACCTCCACGTGTACGTGCAATGCAATAGAGAGTACTTTATCTCAGCCTTTGCATAAAAGATTTAATTTTGAATTTATGATGACAAATATTTATATTTAATTTTTTATCTAATTCATACTTTTAAAAATTTTCATTTATCACTTTTACTCTCAATTATATTTATTATTAGTATTTTCAAAATTTTATTTATTTCAGGTGAAGTCTTTTTATTTATTGGGGGCATTTTAAAAAAAAAAAAATTAATCTCTATATTATGTTGGAGCCCTAGCATCTACAGTAGTTTTGGTAAATAATGATGACGGAAATTGAATCACATTTGATTTGTTAAGAGGCATTCAGAGAGACAAATGTGTGGGTGCTTACAATTAATACCCTGACTGGTTCGAATTTAATTCTCAATTATTCCACATCCAGATAATTTTTTAAAGATATGTTTTTTTCGCCAGAAAGAATACAACTCTCTAGACCTCTGTTTCGTTCGATTTCGTATAAACCATTTTTTCCAGAATAATTTACGAATTTTGAAGAGAACAATGATCATTAATGACTTTGTCTTAAAAAACCCTTCACTTCGCTAATGAAGTGTGAGTTAATTAGAAGTCACTGTTAAATGGAGGGCGCAAAGTTTATACTCCTCCGATCTCTAATATAAGATCTATTTAACTAATTTGATTAAATTAAAAAATTATGTAAGTTAGTTAATTATAAAAAAATGACATGTTTTTCCTAAAACATCATAATCATTTTTTTAATGTCCTCATTTCCTCTTCTTACTTAATTATGGTTAAGAGAGCATTTATAGTGGTAATTTAGAAAAAATGATAAATATGAGAAATTGGTCTTATATTTAAAACCAAAATCAACTCAACAATTAGGTTCTATATTAAGGACCGAAGAAGAGTTCTTTTTGGAAAAAAAAAAATATTACGAACTAATTTAATGAGGTTTATTGGTATTTGCAATTTGGTCCAAAAATAGTTTATAAATTAAAACGGAGGAAATATACAATAAGGTAAATGTTCTCCATTACTCTCTATACCTCTGTATTTGAAAAAATATTACTTCGTAATCAAAATATTTAATCTAGATTTCAATACTTTAATCAAGTAAATGTTCTCAATTACAAGGGGTCAAAGCTGGCCAAAGCCTTCCAATTTCTTCATTTAATCATATATATACTCTATCCGGTATTAATTATAAACCACTTTCAATATTTATTACTAGAGGGAGTAAACATAGTAAAGCAATAATATACCTCATTAGAACTCTTCAATCCGATTATTTTAATCCTTTTTAAAGCGCAATTATATTCTATACTTCACTCATTAAAGCATGTAAATTTTTTGGCCAACAATGTATGTAAAATGGTGAGGTCTCCAACCAAGTAGAAGGAGAAGCTATATGAAGATGAGTGCTAAATCATTCCCTAAAGCTGCTACATTTCTACTGAGATCAAATCATGTTTGCAATTATATAAAACACTAATGAAGAGGACTCCACTCCAATTTTAGCTGCACAAATGAGTAAATTACCTATGATAGAGACACAAAAAGTTCCCAAAATAACGCTACAACAAAATGTATCATTTTCATCTACAATACTTGTCTGTTCTTGTAAAACAGAAGAAAAACTACTTAAATTTGTCTGATATAGGCAACAGATGAGTATAACGTGCTTACTCTCATATATTCTTTCAAAATAAACAAATATATGGGATAGCAGAGGAGAGTTTGTAGGGGGATTTGGAAAGGAAGTAAAAGCAAATTCCCCCTTTATGGCTGAATGCTTCGCAGCCTTAGAAGCCTTTAATTGTCATGAAATCATTAAAAATGATCAAATTATTATTGAGACTGATTGTAAGGAGTTTTTTTGTAGGTTGAAGCAACAGGTCTTGAAGGAATGTGAATGTGAGGAGGTTCTTGATCAGTGCATCAAACGTTGGAATGCATCAAATAACTGGTCTCTCTCTTTGGTTTCCAGGAGAGGTAATGCGGCTGCAGATTGTTTGGCAGTGCTGGTTATGAAGGGAATGGTACCATGTGGATGGCTTTCACAGGGCCACCATCCCTTTTAAATTCTGTCCTGCAAAAGGATATTTCTTCCCTTTTTTCTGGTTCAGTCACAAAAACTGGTATAGGCTAATTACGTGTGGCCTCTTTGGTTTGTATTTGTTTGTACTTTGTCGGGTGAGTTTTGTTGGGTCTTTTTTCTGGTTTTCCGAGTGTATTCTGCTATTTTCCTATAAGGTTTGGAATACAATTCTCGTATGACGTTTGTACTTTGTCGGATAAGCTTTGTTGTGTTTTTTTTTTTTTTTCTGGTTTTTCCGAGTATACTCTGTTATTTTCCTATAAGGTTTGGGATAAAATTTTCGTACTATTCAGCTAAAAAAACAAATATATGGGACTATACTCATTTGTTCTTAGACACGTCTGTTTTCAAGAACAAACGAGTATAAGCATCATATACTCTTATTCAAAATCCGCACCCAAACAACATTAGTTTAACACATTCATATACACCGCTATAATTCTTATTGTAAGGCACTCTTCAGGCATTATGTTTTTCAATGTTGCTCTTATTCAAAGTTTGGTACAATTTTTCTTCGCTTTTTCATGATATGATCGTCGTGGTTTCAAATAAGGATAAATTTGAATTCTTTTTCAAACAAATTTAATGACTTAACCCCCTTTCTTTGATATTCTGATGAAGTAGTTGGAAGTGTCTTAGGGACAAGAATCTGGTATATGCATGAACAAACTCAGCTTGCAAACATAAAGTCAAAGGAGGTCAATCATATTAATCTATACCTTTTAGAGAGAGAGAGAGAGAGCACCGGAAAGGTGTGTTGCCAGCCAAAACGTACGAGACGATCGAGTGAGGAATTGAAGGGGTGATGCTGGATTGTACGCAGAAGCTTGTCAAATGTATAGTCCCTTGCTGATACCTCAGATTCGCTGCCTGTTCGACCTCCAAGTTCGCCATAGTACCTAAAAAAAGTTTGTCGTATAATGAAAGCTTTTTCTTTAAATTCCTCGGGGTCGAACAGACAATGAAAAGAAGGGTAGTCCACAAGAAGAGACTACTCAAGTGACAAGCACAGCGCCCAATCCCACTCACCCATGCCTCTTCATCAACAACAACAATCCGTAAATACACACACACATATATGTATATATGTATGCTTCCTTCCATGGATATATATGAGATGTGATCATATATATAAAAGGGGAAACAGTAGCATCTCATGAACGTGGGAGATAATTAAAGCCATCTGAATTCTAGCTTTGCTTTGACTAGCAGGTGACAAATTCACGCGCACAGGTATATGCTTGAATTCATCTGAGATGCTTCACCAACCCAGTATATTGAGGATTGGGATGTCGGCTTGCCTCCTTTGCTGTCCCTTAATTTACTTGTAATCCAAATGTTTTTTTCCTT